GTGTTCACCCCTAGGTCATCCCCCTCCTATTGCTTGTATTGCCTATGTTGCAACCTCTCCCTATGACGTAGGTTGTTTTCTGCTATCAGGGGCTTGCATGCCTCCCAGGATAGTAGTTGTCTGTTTCATTGTATGAGACACCCGAGAGATCAAACCCGCTCAAGGATGAACTGTACTGCCCCTTTCTGTGACGTGTGATTCTATAATCATGTCCCCCTAGTGATATAATTCGTGGTTAGCGATAAAGAAGGAGCGAGCTCCAGAGCCCGAGAGGCTCTCCCCGATTCCCGGGGCCCTCCTTCAGCTCTGGGGCTGAAGGCTCTCCCCGATTCCTGGGGCCCTCTCGGGCTCTCAGGCCAGGAGAGGCTTCCCGGTTCTTGGTCCCCCAGGCTGCTCCTGCTCTCATAGCCGGGTTCCCCCCAAGAGGACCACCAAGCGGGGTGGAGGTGAGCAATGCTACCATGTAATGTGTCTGACTGCATCATTGTAATATCTCTCATGGTCTCGATGACTTTAATATAATACTTATATATCTCAACCGTACAATTGTGCTTACTGAACCCGCGGGTAGTAGTAGCAGCGGGTGGGGGCTGGACCCCTCACTGCTCCAAATTTAATACTACACACGTTTCAAAATTACGAAGCTATAAAAAGATATATTGTGCAAATGACTTCTCACCTCTGGGAGGAGGGGATTCCTCCAGCTCCCCCTCCCCGCAGGCCATCAGGGTACACCTGACTGCTGTGTGTATCTCCTATGATAGGTCTGTGACTAGCAGAGGGGGGACGTGAACGTGGTGGCGTGGTCAGCTAAGTTTCAGCCCACCAGTGGCTCTCAGGAGAAAGTCGAGGCTGTAGGCTCCCATCAAGGTCGATGAAGCCGCTGAGACGCCACGGAGGACTGCAGTGAGTGGACATCCACTGGACGGGAGTGGGTCTGATGTCGGTGGACACGGACACGTCGCTTTCTTGTATTTTGTCGTCTCGGCCTTTGCATATGTCATTTTCCACAGACGGAAGGTCTGTGCAGCCATTTTCCAGTGTCTGGGTCACATTCTGGCAATTCTCCCAGAACGTCCCAAATTGCTGTTGCACAGGTGACTACAA